GGCCGGGCGCGGCCGGCGAGCGCCCCGAGCGGAGCCGACCCGGGACGGGCCCGGGCCGTTTAAGGGAGGCCTCGGTCGCGGCCTCCGGCCGGCCGGGCAAGGGGTGCGGCAGCCGAACCGGGCCGGGTCCGGTGCTCGGTGCCCGGCGAGCTGTCGCTTTGCCCGCCCCTGGAAGGAGCTTTGATGCTGCCGCTGGCGAGGCCGGCCCGCAGGAGCCCTCTCCACGGGGATGGCAGTGCCGTGCCGCCTGCCTTTAGCACGTGTGCCCCGGCACAGGCCTGTCCCTCAGCGTGTCCCGGTCCCGGCTGGGTGGTGTGCAGCGGAGCCCTGCAGCGCAGACCGGCACTGGCCCCCGATCCAGCGTGTGTGGCTCGGGTAGCTCGCTCCATCTGCACACAGCCGGGTGTTACAGCTGAGCTTCCTGGGCACCGCTGTCCGCATTCCTGCCGTGCCCACGGTCTGTTTGACAGCCCAGAAATCACTGTGTTTTGCCCTGTTATCTTGTAACTACATAGATGTGGCTTTCCAAGGAGAAAGTGAGCCATATCTCATACTTGCTGTGTTAGGGCTGTACAGCCGGTATAAAAGCACATTTTAATGGCTGCATTGCCATATCACCAGCACTGTGACACACAGGAACACGGATCTCTAGCCATAGCATGCCTCAGCCACCTCTCCCCAGCTCCTGCTTCCCCTCTGTCTCTGCAGACACATCTGCTGCCATGGTGAATGAGAAGCACAATGGCACCCTGCTTGTGCAGCTGGGGCCCAAACTGCAGGCCCACCCAGAGAAGCTGCTGCGGCAGCGGCGAGGCCACAACGAGCGGCCGGAATACCTGGTCCGGTGGAGTGTTGTTAGCTCGGAAGAGAGAGCGGCGGGAGGCAGCAGTGCCTGCTCCGGAGAGAGCAAGGCAGAGCACATCTCCCTGTGGATGTCTGCAGAAGAGGTGTGCGCCAGCTGCCCGGCGCTGCTGGGCCAGAGGAGGCCAGAGGGGCCGAGAGAGGAGAAGGCTCCCGGTGCCTTGTCCGCGCTCATCCCGCTGGACGAAGCCTCGCTGCTGGAGATGAAGGCCGACGTCAGGAGCCTGGTGCAGCGAGCCGGGCGCCAGGTGGCCGAGGCCGGGACCCCCGAGTGCTCCATCCTGAGCACGGTGCACGTGCTGGGCGCCTACGCCAGCATCGGCTCCCTGGCGGGCGCCTTCAGGGAGGCGGGAGCCCTGGAGCTGCTGACGGCCATGCTGTGCCACCGGGAGAAGCGGATCCGCCGCGGTGCCGGCGAGATGCTGCGCGCTCTGGGCGCTCAGGATGCAGGTGGGGGCTGCTCCTGCTCAGTGCCACTCAGGGGTGCTGGGCAGCTGAGGGGTGCCAGGCCTTCGGGAGGGGTGAGATGCCTGGGAAGCAGCATGGCTCAGGGCTTCTTGGCAGAAGGGGAAGAATCAGTCAGGATCTTCCGGACTTCCGTGCAGTTGTGTGGACTGCTCTTGGAGTTAGAAACTCTTTCCCCTGCCAGGTTTCTGAGCTGGGATGCTGATTAACTCTTAGGAGTTGAAGGAATGTAAAGGGTGGTTGTCTCCTACCCAGCACCTCTCCTGCTCCACTGCTGGAGCCCAGCCTGGGGAATCTGGAGTTTCTCAAGCTGAGAGATGCAGCTGCCACTTTCCCATTTGCAGCTTCAGCCAGTAGCAAAGCTGACTGCCCATCGTGGAGCACAGACACAGGCAGCACACACTTACAGCACTCACATAAACACAAACACAGCCAGCCATGTTCCCTCCTGCTCTTTGTCTGGCAGAGACAGAACGTCACTCCTGCCAGCACACACTGCATTTTCCAGGTTCATAAGTACACACACATTCATGGATCCCTTGGGTACCAGCATGGCCCCTCTCTCCTGCACACGTGCCTGGATCCAAGCCCTTCTACCAGTCTCAGGGATCGCCCTGCTCATCAGTTTGTTAAGCTGGGTGCTTGCTAGTAAGCCTGTAGCACTTTTGTTCCACAGTCCACATTCACACATCCCTTGGGACTTCCAGCACCAGCCCCCACCCACCTCATACCTCAGTCTGGACCCAGGACCTCGTCCTTGCTCTTCCAGCATGAAGTTGCTAACGAGTTACATGCACAGCAGGGTTGGGAAAGATGCAGACACTCACCCTTTCCCACCGGCCCCGGGCATGCAGTCCTGCTTCAGCTTCTCACTTGCCTCCCTTCCAGCAGCTGTTCTTCAGAACACACACTGTTCTCTCCCCAGTGGCTGATGACTGGGGATCCTGCCAACTCCAGGCACTGGCACTGGAGAGACCCTTGCACTTGCCCCAGTAGCTGGCACGTCAGGCCAGGGACTCCTACACCCCTGATCAGACCTGAGTAATTTGATCTGGGTCAGCTGTACACCAGTCCTCCTGATAACTGGCATTCCAAGCTCAAATCTGTGATTTGATCCAGAGAGTGATGGTACCTCCAGTTGTCACTCACTCCCCTGACTGACTCCACAGGGCTCCCACAGCCCCAGTAAGGCTCCAGTTCGTGGTACCAAATGCCACTCGTGCAGGTCTCACCAGCAGCTGGCACTGAGTCTTTGCAGCACACACACAGGGTAGAGAGAGACTTAGTAAAGATTCAATAAGAAAGTAGGACAAACTGTGTCAATCAGGTACAGGACTGTCAGACAAACACACTGACCAGCTGTGGTTTAAACATGACTGGCCCCTTTTATAGCCCTTTCTCTGCACCCCCTTTATGTTCCTTGCCAATTCCAATTAATCAGATAATCTTACTGAAAAATAATCATTCTCACATGCCAGATCTCCTTACTAATTGTTGTCCAGATGTCCTTACTAATTGTTATGACTGACCAGATTTGTTACTCCTCACTGCATCCATTAGCATTTGTCAGGTTTGTTATTCTTTATGTTCTTGTTTATGGCTGCCTTCTTACTTCGACTTTTTGCAATGAAAAGGTCCTTGACTGGATACACTTAGAGGAACAAGCAATCTCCTTCCACGTAGCCTTGCAATGAAGACCAGTGCCAAAGGGCTTGACACAGCCCTGGTGGGTAGAGGCTGGTCCTCACCCATTTCTCTCATTTAAGAGGAGCTGTCATGGCTTGGAAGTGCCTGATGAGGCTTGGGTGCACCTGGAAGGTTGCTGGTTGTGGTGTATCCCACAGGAGATCTGGCTTTCCCTGTCCTAGTGCCTGAGTTTGTGCAGCTCTGAAGTGGGCAGGTGAGGGGCTGATTCAGGTTAAAACTTGACTTCTTTTCTTCCCTGGGACCCTGTTCTGGAATCAGTTATTTGGGGTTGCTGCTTTGTGAGAATCTCTCAGCTTTAGGGGTAGAAAAAAACCACCATGGAGCAAAATGTTGCCACTCCAGAGGAAGGGACAGAAGGTGGATCAGGTGACACCGAGCAGCAAAGCTGTTCCTTCCCTGCAGCTCTGTGTCTCACAGGGAGGTGGGGTGAGGGCTGTCTTTCTGGGGCCTGAAGAGTTTTTGTTGTTGTTGCAGGAGTCTGGGCCCATGTCCTGCTGTCCCTGAGCCAGCAGGATGGCATTGAGCAGCACATGGACTTTGACAGTCGCTGCACCTTGCTGGAGCTGTTTGCTGAGATCACGTCCTCTGCAGAGCACTGCATGTCCTTCGAGGGGATTCCCCTCCCGCAGGTGGTGCCGGACCCGCCAGCAGCCCTGGGGCCCGAGGGGCCAGGAGGGGTGGGAGTGGGGGCCAGGAGGGGTGGGAGTGGGGGGCCAGGGCTGGCACCCTTGTCTGGGACATGAGGGGAGTTGAAGGTGGGCAGGTGAGCAGGACTGGCTGTCGGGAGAGCTGGCTCAGGGCCTGGGCCTGGTGGTGGTGCAGAGGCAGCTGCAGAGCCTGGTCTGCCAGCAGGGAGGGGAGGGTGGGCTCAGAGGTCTCTGCTGCTGCCGGCTGGTCCGGAGCTCTCCCGGGAGCCTGCCTGGGAATGAGCTGGTGGCTCAGAGAGAGCTGGGGGCTGGAGGTGCTGTGCAGGCTGAGTGTGAGAGCTGTGCTTGTTGCAGATCCCTGGGAAGCAGCTGTTTGTCCTGGTGAAGCGCTACCTGTGCGTGACTTCTCTCCTGGACAGGCTGAGCAGCGGCGTGGAGCAGGGAGAGGAGCAGCAGGGCTGTGCTGTGCCCGGGCCTGTCCCTGAGGAGAGGAGCCGTGTGAAGCAGGAGTTTGAGTTCAGCATGGCCATGGCAAACCTCATCTCGGAGCTGGTGCACGTGATGGGCTGGAGCCACAGGCACAAGGCAGAGCCGCTGCGCCAGCAGGACCTGCAGCCTCGCCCTGCCCGCTCCATCTTCCAGCACAGGACCCCGGCCAGCACTGCTGCCGAAGCGGCCCCTGTGTCCCCAGCAAAGGAGCCCGTGACCTTCAAGACGCGCTCGGCCTTCCCGAGCCGCAGCAGCTACGTGGAGTACGTGCAGGCCACGCTGGTGAGCGGCATGCGGGTGCGCATGCTCGAGGACTACGAGCAGGTCAGCGCCGGCGACGAGGGCGACTTCCGCCGCAGCAACGACGGCATGCCCCCGGTGCAGGTATTGCTGCAGGGGGAGCAGGCGCTGCCAAGGGGCTTGTCTGCTCTCCTGTGCAGCCTTGCATGGGGACAGTGGGGTTGGGTTTGCCTTCTGCCAGCTGGGTGTGTGCTGGGCTCTCCTCCTCAGGTGTACTGGCAAGCTCTGGGCTGTACGTACTGGGTTCACTGGCACATGGTCGAGATCATTGGCCCTTCAGAACAAAAGGAGCTTGAGGGCCAGGAGAAGGTGAACACCCTGACACGAAACCACAGACTGAGAGCAGGTGAGCAGCCCATCTGTCTCCTTCAAGCATATTCCAACTCTCCCACTGCCCTCCTGTCAACTTCCTTTCTCCCAGCAAACTATGGTATGGTGGGGACCTCTTCTGACCACCATGAGGTCTTTCCTTGGGGAATGTGGGGTGTGCAGCACAGGATGGG